GCGTTGTGCGCCCGGGGGGGGGGGGTCACTCGGTAGCACAGGCTGGGGCTGCTCTATTCCTAGGCTAGCTGCTTGGGTGAAACGGCCCTTCCTGCGAACTGCTGGTCTGTGCTCCCAGCTCTTGTCTAGGTGCGGCACCAGTCCTGTCCCTGCATGAGGAGCCTCTCTCTCCCTTCTGCTTTCTCAGCTGGCCGGCTTCTCTGGGGAGGAGTTTCTGGACTGAGAATTCCCCAGCAGCTTAAGCAGCAGATTGTGGGCGTTGGTCCGAACTCATGGGTCATCCCTGGTGATCTTCCCCCGACTCCAGGTGGCTCCCTCACAAGTCTGGAAATGCCTTTCCAGCCCAGCTATGACATAGTGGGGGTACCTTGCTGGTTGCTATGCTGGGCAGTGGGTTGTGAGTGACCTCCACTGGCTGCTGGCTGCAGCACGGCCCAGCAGGGCAGGGGATGAGTCATTATACAAGGGGGCTTCGAACCTGTCTGACCAGTTACCTCCCAGGGAGCGGAACAATGGGAGGAAGGGGAGTGGAGCCCTGGCTGGGGACAGGGCTGGAAGTGAGTTTGTGTGGTTCTGGCTGGGATCATGGAGGAAGCAGCCTAGGCAACGGGCTGGGATTTAGGGGCCCAGACTCCCCCATATCAAGGGGGGCTGAGGCATCCTAGTCCTGCCCTGGAACCAGATTCCACCTGTGCTGTGCTCTATCCTGGAGAAGCAATAAACTCCCCCTGTTCTACTGGCTGGTGGAGTCTGTTCGTGCCATTACGGGGGTCACACCAGCCATTGCGTGGAAATCCAACCCCCAGGTGCACAGCATCATGCACCCAATGGGCAGGCAAGACAACGGGACGGGTTTTACTTCAGGGCCCTTGGGCATTCCGCAAGCCTTGCTTCCTGGTCACCCTTCGCAGTGGCCTTGCCTGCGGTCTGTGGGGCGTGCTCCCCCTCGCTGGCTGGCGGGTACGGCCGAGAGCCCCCTCCGCGGGGGCAGCATGCTCAGCCCCAAGGGAGCATGTTGTCATGCGCTTGGCAGCCCGCCCTGCTCCCCAGAGGGGGCTGCCAGTGCCCTCCCCTGCATGGCCCTCGGCGGCGGGGCAAGCGGAGGCGCTTGCCTGTGCCCTGGGTCAAGGGGCATGGTCAGTTTGGGTTGATCTCCCCTTCTCCTGCCCCATCTGGCCCCATGGGTGGCGAGGTCACTGCTCCTGCCGCGAGGCCTGCGCTGTTCGGTGAGTGGCAGATGGGAGTGGGGCTGCTAATGCGGGACTGGCTGGGGCTCAGTAACTGCAGTAACTGCAGCTTCGTGCGGCAGGGCCTGTTGCCGCAATGACAACGGGGCGTGGGGAGCCAAGGCAGGGATGGGGGACGTAACTCACCCAGGTCACCCAGCAGGGGGTGGCAGAGCTGGGAACAGAGCCCCGGCTTCCTCGGCCCCGCTAGACTTCCCTGCTCCTCCTGTCACCGCAGGAGGGGACCGTGCAGAGCCAGGCCGTCACTCGCTGCCGTCGCCTGTCTCTAGCCAGGGGCCTTGTCTGGCTGCACGGGGGACGTGCTCTCGCATACGTGCTGGGGGGGCTTGCGGAGCGCGGCCCTGGTGTGCCGAGCCAGCACGGATTGTCCGGGGGTGGGCCCCACGGCTTCGTCACTAGATGAGGAGCAGGGTGCGGCCGGGGGACACGCTAGCGAGGGCATCGGGGCTGGGGGCACTGCCCTGGGGACTTGCATGTGTGAAGGGGCACAGCACAGCACAGAGGCCCCGGAGCTCAAACCCTGCCGTGCCCTTGTTTGCAGCCAGGGTGCGAGCGCAGGGCTCGCTGCCCACTGGTCCCTGGCTATCGGCAGGGCTTGCCGGTGCCATGTGTGGGGCCTTGCTCACAGGTGGCCAGGGCCTGAGCCCTGTTGAACCCCACTGGGCTCCTTTCCCTGCGCTGCCAGGAGACCTGCCCGTCGAGCTGGGAGCTCAGGGCTGGCAGGGGTGAGAACTTCATGCCGGACCTGGCTCGGAGCAGCCCGGAAGTCCTGGTGGTGGCCCCCGGGCAGCTGCACTCACCAGCCTCGCTGTGCTGCAGGGCTGCCCACAGCTTGGGGTACGCAGTCTTGCTCTAGCTGGGAAGCAGGAGGAACCTGGTTGCCAGGGAAGCTGGAGGCTTCCTGAGATGTAGCAGAGCTGGGGGAAAGGCAGGCAGAGCTGGGAAGTTCTTGCCAGCAAGCTCCCAGGCTACAGGGCCTGAGGCAAGGCCTGAGGCTACTACTAGGGCTGCAGGGACTCAGCCAGGATAGAAAAGGCAGCAGGTCATACCCCCTTGCCAATGCTGAGTGGCCATTTCAGACTTCAGTTTTCCCCCAAGCTATGGGGCTAGGTGATGACCGGCAGTGGGTGACTGAGGCAAGGTGGGCATAGGTCAATTGGGGATTCCCTGGAAGAGGAGGACCCTAGAGTGCAGGGGCACCAACCTAGGACAATATTAGCAGGAAAAGGTGCCACTGGCAGGCAGGGGACACTCCAGGTCTGAAGAGCTTATTCCCAGACTAACCAACTGGAGGCGCATTGGGAGTGAGCGCTTGACCCATGACTTGTAATTATAGAAGGTACAGAATCCACCACAAATGGTGTTGATGCCCAGGGAAACTATTTTGGCTATGAACACTGATCCGTGGAACCACACAGTACATCTCCCTCAACGCATTTCAAAATATCTTATTTTCAGTGGAATGGAAATCAGCTGTAGTACAGGTGGTTATATTGAGCAGCAATTGATGCAGCTATACTAGGAATCAATGCAGGATTGTTAACAGTCCACAGCAAAATGCACTTGTATAATGGATTGAACTTGCATATGGTATTTTGGGAGTTCTCCAAATAGCTTTAGGCACAGATTTTCAAAAATGTTTAAGGCAAGGTGTGGGGAAACTTTTTTGGTCGGGGGTCACAGACCCACAGAAAAATTTGGCAGGGACCACACACAAGTGAAAAGCAAAGGAAGAAGCTCCTGACTGAGGAGAAAGACACTCCCATGTTCCCCTTGCACGCCAGAGCCTAGTAGGGCCCAGGCTAGTAGATTTTGGGTGCTCCAGCCCTGCAGGTGAGAAACCGGGGGACTGGAGCACCTGTGCAGGCTCCCCACTGCTGAACTTCGGGGGGCTGAAGCTAGGCAAGCCGGGGGCTGCATCCGGCCCTGAGGTTCCCCGCCCCGCCCTAGAGACAGGAATGGGGTGGGACCAGAGGGCACACCCGATGCTTCTCCAAGTGGTTAGCGTGGCTGTTGGAGCACTAATGTCCTGTCTGCCTCCCTGCAGGTCCTCTCAGGCTGCTCCATCATTGTCCGAGGGCAGCCCCGTGGGGGGCCCCCTCCGGAGCGGCAGATCAACCTCAGCAATATCCGTGCCGGAAACCTCGCCCGCCGGGCTGCTGCGGGCCAGCCGGATGCCAAGGACACCCCAGACGAGGTACGTGTCTCCTCACTGGGGCGAAAGGCTCCCCGGGCTCCGAGCACCCAGGACTGTGGCCAGGCGAGACCCTCCTTGGCAGACCGCCAGCAGGAAACCTGAAGCCAGCAGTGACTTTGGGCCCGGACCCAGAGCTCAGTGTAGCAAGTCCTCAGCCTTGGGCCAGTGTAACTTGATCCATGAGTTCCCGTGCTCCCTGCCTGGGGGGCTCAGTGCAGACTCGGGATGTAACAGTGCAGCCGATTAACCGATAGGCAAAAGCTTATAGGCTAATGCTGTAGACCACACGCATCTCCCTCTCCCTGCCAGTAAATGTTTAGCAGGCTGGCCAGCAGCCCGGCTCAGTTCTGGCTTGTGGTGGGTCCGGGACCTACCCCTGCTGCGGCTCTGCATTTAAAGTGCATTAGGGGCTGGGTGGGCAGGCAGCCCGGCTCAGTCCTGGCTCACGCTGGGTCCGGGAGCTCAGATCCACCCAAGCCGGGGGCTGCTGCCACCCTGTGCTGCTGCCCCTCTCTCAGAAGCAGCAGCACAGGGCGACAGGCAGCCAGTCCACGAGGGGAGCTGGTTTTTAAACGGGCTCCCACCTGGCATCCCGCGTTGCTGCCTCTGATCCAGTGTCTGCAGGCCCCGCCCCCAGGGACTGTAGAATAGTTGAGTAACCGATAACATTTCATCAGGGTACTCGACTAGTCAGTGAACTGATGTTTAACAGCCCTAGGGCAGATCCCAGTGCCCGGGTGTGGTGCTAGGAGTAGGATGGGGTCTGAGCCCACCCTGTGCTGCAGCAGAGTGCTAGGGGTGCTCCTCCTTAGGGGGTGCTGTGAGTGGGGGTCAGCCCCGGAGTCCTGGTCACATTCTTGCTGCAGCCTCCTCTCTCGGTGAAACGGACGAGCCTGCTGGAGCTCCTCTCGGTGTGCAGGGACGGCAGCTTGTGGAGCGCTGGCTCCGGGAGGGAGAGCACCTCCTGCTGGAGCTGCAGGGCCTCTTCCCTCAGCCTTGTCTGTGTTCTCTAGCAAGGGGGGACCAGGCCCAGTCCTGCTCAGCTTCGGGGTAGGGTGGGTCCCAGCCTGAGGGGGGATACAGGATAGGGTGTCCAGGTGTCCGGTTTTCACCCGGACCATCCATTATTTCTGGCCCTGTCCTGTAACCCCCCCCAGAAATACCGGACTGTAAAATGTGTCCCTTGTACGGAAGGCTGGTGGGGACATTCCTTCTCTGCCATGTCCGGGGGGAGGGGTGGGGGGCAGTGAGGAGCGTGGGGATTTTTAAAGGCACAGTGACCTTTTTGTTCTCCCATTGGTTTTTTTGCTTAACGGACCATCCATTATTTCTGGCCCTGTCCTGTAACCCCCCCCAGAAATACCGGACTGTAAAATGTGTCCCTTGTACGGAAGGCTGGTGGGGACATTCCTTCTCTGCCATGTCCGGGGGGAGGGGTGGGGGGCAGTGAGGAGCGTGGGGATTTTTAAAGGCACAGTGACCTTTTTGTTCTCCCATTGGTTTTTTTGCTTAACTTTCATCCTGTTTTTTTTCTTTTGCTCAACCAAGTTTTTCCTGCCATGTTCGGGATTTTTGGTGAGACTCCTTTGCTAGGCCAGCAGCTATCTGCCAGGGGTGTGTGAGAAGACCAGTTCGATTTCCTCTGGCTCAGAGCCCTTTTGAGCTAGGCAGGCGGCTGTCCTCAGCCGCGCCTACTGAGTGTAAAATGTTTGTCATCGCATAGCGTAGCGGGATGCTTCCGTTCTGGTGCCCTAGCTCAGTGTTTCTCAACCCGTGGTACGAGCACCCTTAGGGGTACTCGAAGTCTGGGGGTCCATCAACACAACCGACATGTGGAGAACTGAATTTTCATTTTAAGTTTTACGACGCTTTATTATTTTTGTACTTTTTACACCCAAAAATGTCATCGCCCGCCTGGCTACGATGACATTGTTTAAACAAATGTTTCAACGGGAGAAAAACATTCTGAAAACTGTCGGTACTGGGGGTACTTAATTTTTTGTTTGAAAAAGGGGAGTACTTTATTTAAAAAAAGGTTGAGAAGCACTAGTCGAGGTGAATCTCCCAGGCTACCAGCCTCCAGGGAGGCAGAGACTGGGGGAGAGATGCATCCTAGGTGTTGTCTGGCAGGAGCCTAATCGGCTTTCGATGGAGGAATCTTCATGGGGGAATGGTTAACCGCTCCTGTGGCAGCAGATCATGGTGGCCTTGCTAGTGTAGGTGCTGGGCTCTGATGAGAAAGCTGGTCTCCCAGCACACTTGGTGGATGGAGCCGAAGGTGGTGCATTTCACACCCTGGCCCCCTGGGCCCAGCTGCGGTTTGCGGGCGATCTCCTCGGGGGTACCCATGAGCTACAATGCTGGTGGCTGGCCCTGCCCCCACCCGTTGCCCAAAGCAGCTGTCTGCTGCGTGCTGAGTTGTGGGAGCTGGCTGACTCAGGCTGGGGTTGTGCGTGGAGCTTTTTCCCTGTAGGACGCTACTTCAAACACTGTCACCCGGTGGCTGTTTGGGGTGACCTGAGGGGCGGGGCCAATCCGATCTGCAGTGAGATGGTGCCGTGCTGAAGTTGTACAGAGGGGTGGGATGGACGTGGGTCTGGGGAAGAGGTGCTGGCTCTGCAGCATCCCATTTGGGGACAAACAGAACTCGGCCTCCTGCTTTTGCTCACCAGCTCTGTGCGTACGACGTAGCACAGACCTGCACTGAGTGTTCAGCTGCAGTGCTGACCCCTCCTTACCAGAGTCCCCTGCTGTCTTGAGCGCAGGAACTCCGGCTGCAGGGTGCTAACAGAACCCGCAGACCGAGCTGCCTTGCACACCGCTTCACTGGAGGGCTAGATACCGAGAAGACTTACCCAGAGTTGCCTGGGTCCTTAACTCATGTCCTTCTAAAAATCAAGTAGTCCTATGGCACCCAAGAGACTAACATCTCTGTAATATCGGGCGCCTTCGTGGGCACAGCCCACTTGTGAGAGTCATGGAATTGTATCTTCAGTTCAATCCTTGCTCTGGAGGGTGCAGGCTGCCCTGGAGGGGGAGAACAACCCCAGCCCCTTCTCCCTGCAGCAGCTCCTCTCCATGGCTGCTGCTGCTCCAGTGGCCACAGCTGGGGAGGGTGCACGTACCCCGGCTGAGGCAAGTCTTAGCATCCCTACCCTGTCCTTCCCCAGCCAGAGTGAGGGATGCAGCAAACTGCACTTTCCCCTCGCTCCCTGCTTCTCCCACCTCCCCATGTCCAATAGGAAGGAGGTCAGGATCACAGAGTCCATTTTGCAGGTGGGGAAGCTGTGTGCTCTGTTTGCTAGGCAACACTGCCTCCCTATGAGATCTCGCTGCATGGTGCCTAGCAGTGGAAGGGGAGCCCTCAGGTTGGTGTCACTTGGAGCTCCAGTGATGGTTCTGTTCTTCCCTAGCCCTGGGGGTTTCCGGCTCGTGAGTTCCTGCGGAAGAAGCTTATTGGGAAGGAGGTGTGCTTCACGGTGGAGTACAAGACCCCCCAAGGCCGGGAGTACGGCAAGTAGCAGTGGCTGGGGCTGCCAGACACCCTGCAGGTCTGCTGTTGCTGGTGGGATGAACCCGACACCCCACTGCATTGATGGCCTCAGGCTGCCATTTAGTGCACTGCCATGAATTCTAGGGACATTCCAGTGTGGGCTCTTCCTGGCCCTCCGGGCACCCCCTGGGTGGGTGCTGGGTTCAGCCAACGCTGCTGCGGACTAACGCTGCTGAATGTGCTCAGGCTGCTTCTGGCCGTGGGGCTGGTTGAATTGCCTTAGGTTGCCTGCTGCCGCCGTTAGGCTACTACGAATCGTGTGGCTTTCGTCAACTGGAGACAAGCAACAGAAGGGAGGTCTCATAGCTCCTTTGCAGTTAGTGTCCATGAGGGTGTCCATTGGACTGTCTTGAGTCAGCACAGCCTAAGAACGGCCCCAGTGGGTCAGACCAAAGGCCCATCCGGCCCAGTGTCCTGTCTGCCGACAGTGGCCAATGCCAGGGGCCCCAGAGGGGGTGAACAGGACAGGGAATCCAGTGACTTCACTCCTGTCACTCATTCCCAGACAGGCTAGGGACACCATTCCGGCCAGCCTGGTGTAGCTGTTGATGGACCTAACCTCCATGGATTTATCTAGTGCTTTTTTTTGAACCCAGTTAAAGTCCTGGTCTTCACAACCTGTGGAACTCCTTGCCAGAGGATGTTAACATAGGTTGTGTGAAGAGAACACCTGCTTCCTATTAAATTTCATTTAGTGACCCTCTAGTTCTTGTCTTATGGGAAAAAGTAAATAACTTTTTGTCCACACTGTCATGATTTTAAACCTCCATCATACCCCTTTCATTTGTCTCTCTTCCAAGATGAAATCATAGAATACTTGGAGTGACTGGCTGTGGGCAGGGCTTTGGATGCTGCGGCCACCATGATTCCAGGCTCCAGTCCCAGGGATCCAGCAGCTAGGCAGTGTGGTCCCCACCTGGTGAGTCAGCCCTGAGCTCCCTCCAAATCCCCTGCCCTGACTCCTGCATGGCCCCGGGCCCCTCCCCCCACACTCCATCTCACACTTAAATTTCTTACCGGTACTGTGCTATCACAATTGTCCCAATGGCTTGCACTGACCCCAATAGGATAGTACCTGTAAGAAACTTGTTACTTTCACCCCTGCTGGTTATATTACATTAGCTGCTGTGGCTTAATGGATAAGAGCAGCTAGGAATACAGGCAACCTACCAGAGATAAGGGATACACAAAGGGAGACCCCCGTTGGGGTTCACAAATCTTTCTTTGGGACCCCAACTTAGTCTTTGCTGTGCAAATCTGGTGTACTTCTCTTAGGCAAATTATAGAACACTAGAACTGGAAAGGACCTCGAGAGGTCATCGAGTCCAGTCCCCTGGCCTCATGGCAGGACCCAGAACTGTCTAGACCATCCCTGACAGGTGTCTGTCTAACCTGCTCTTAAGTATCTCCAGAGATGGCGATTCCACAAACTCCCTAGGCAATTTATTCCAGTGTTTAACCACCCTGACAGTTAAGAAGCTTTTCCTAGTGTCCAACCTAAACCTCCCTTGCTGCAGTTTAAACCCATTGCTTCTTGTCCTATCCTCAGAGGCTAAGAATAATAATTTTTCTCCCTCCTCCTTGTGACACCCTTTTAGATACCTGAAAACTGCTCTCATGTCCCCTCAAAGTCTTCTCCTTTCCAACTAAACAAGCCCAATTCTTTCAGTCTTTCTTCTTAGGTCATGTTCTCTAGATCTTTAATCATTCTTTTTGCTCTTCTCTGGACCTTCTCCAATTTCTCCACATCTTTCTTGAAATGTGGTGCCCAGAACTGGACATAATACTCTAACTGAGGCCTAATCAGCTCAGAGTAGAATGGAAGAATGACTTCTCGTGTGTTCCTCACAACACATTTGTTAATACATCCCAGAATCATGTTTGCTTTTTTTGCAACAGCATCACACTGTTGACTCATATTTAACTTGTGGTTCACTATGACCCCTAGATCTCTTTCTGAAGTATTCCTTCCCAGACAATTGCTTCTCATGCTGTATGTGTGAGCCTGATTGTTCCTTCATAAGTGGAGTACTCTGCATTTGTCCTTGTTAAACTTCATCCTATTTTCCTCAAACCATTTCTCCAGTTTGTCTGGATCATTTTGAATTATGACTCTATCCTCCAAAGCAGTTGCAATCTCTCCCAGCTTCGTATAATCTGCAAACGTAATAAGCATATTCTCTATGCCAATATCTAAATAGTCGATGAAGATATTGAACAAAACCAGTCCCAAAACAGACTCCTGTGGAACTGCACTTGTTATGCCTTTCCAGCAGGATTGTGAATCGTTAATAACTACTCTCTGAGTACGGTTATCCAGCCAGTTATGCACCCACCTTATAGTAGCCCCATCTAAGTTGTATTTGCCTAGTTTATTGATAAGAATATCATGTGAGACTGTATAAAATGCCTTACTAACGTCTAAGTATACCACGTCCATCGCTTCTCCCTTATCCACAAGACTCGTTATCCTATCAAAGCTATCAGATTGGTTTGACATGATTTATTCTTTACAAATCCATGCTGGCTGTTCCCTATCACCTTATCTTCCAAGTGTTTGCAGATTTCCTTAATTACTTGCTCCATTATCTTTCCTGGCACAGAAGTTAAACTGACTGGTCGGTAGATTCCTGGGTTGTTCTTATTTCCCTTTTTATAGATGGGCACAATATTTGCCCTTTTCCAGTCTTCTGGAATCTCTCCTGTCTGCCATGATTTTCCAAAGATGATAGCTGGGGACTCCCCTGCTGACCCAGGGCTCTGTGTGGCACTTCCTGTGACGGTGAGTCGGGATTCCTCCGATCCTGCGGCCCCGTAGCAGCAAGAACAGACTCGACCAGCTAGTAGAATAGAGGGGTTAGTGGGGGTGCTTGCTGGGCTGTGGTGACCCCTGCTGTCTGGAGCAAGACCCAGCAGGGAAAGCCTCACTAGGCAGAGGTAATTGGGGTCCCTGGGCCCCTAGATTCCAGCCCCCCCTTAGTCTCTTTCCTTCATGGTTCCCAAGAGTGCCCTGCTCCCAGTCCCTGCCCCCAAACCAGGTGTTCATCTCTGCCTCCCTCCCTTTGTCTCTCCCCTGGGGAAAGAGCCTTGTTATCAGGTGTCAGAGCTAATCCACGCGTGGGTGAGTCAGTGGGAATCTCATATCACAGCGCAGGGGGACCCCGGGGTACAGCGCAGGCAGCCCCCCACTATGCCACACTGCCGCTTTGATACTGTTTGTCAGTGCTGCACGGAGTCCAGGGTCAGTGGGGGAATTCCCAGCTGATCCCGGGCTCTGTGTGGTGCTGCTGCTTTGAAACGCCGCGTGCAGCCTGAGGACACCCCAGCTGGCCCCAGGCTGCAAGTGGCTTTTCAAAGCAACAGCACTGTGTGGAGCCCAGGGTCTGGCTGCCTTCTTCAAGTGGTGCTGCCACTTCGAAGTTCCCCCTTTTCTTCCCCCCTTCTGTCTGAGAGGCAGCAAGAGGGGGGAACAAGTAGCCGACTATCCAATACGCATGTGTTTATCGGATAGCTGACTAGCCCCTCACATCGCTAGAGGCAACCACATTTGATTGATTCAAAGTGTGAGCGTGCCATGGATTGAGGCAATAAGAGATTGTCGGGTTCTCTATCCCTTGCTTAAGGATTCCTAACATTGTTCGCTTTGCCCGCCGCTGCGCATGGAGAGGATGTTCATTGCCCATGGAATTGCTTGAACAGCGCCTCAGAAGGGGGTTGGTTATCTGGCACTTGTGAAAGTGGAGTAGTGCTTTGAAAGCACCATTGCCTGTTTGGGAGCGCTGCGTTAGCTTCGCTTTTGCATGTTGTGGAGGTTATGGCTTCCTTCTTGCAAAGCTTTGCTGAGCAGCTTATCTAGGGTCTGTTAGGGTGATTGCGAGAGGCAGAACGGGGCAAAGCGACCCATAGGCAAGGAGGGATCTAAGCTGTAGAAGTGGCACAGCGGTAGATACCTTGGGTGCTAATTCCAGTGATCCTTAGAGAAGAGGGAGGCAAGTCACGTGCCCTGATAAATGCTCAGGGCACAAAATGTTCTTTAGTCAAGGTCATGAGTCCAGGTCTTGCTTCTGTTCTGCTGCTCTCAGGAGTGAGTCTGCACATCCTTGTCCTTAGTAGCAGAATGGGCCAGAAACCCAACCTGGGGTGGTCCTGCCCCCCAGAGGTTTTGAGAAGGGGCAAAGGTGGTCAGATAGCAGTACAAATAGAAGTGGCTCCCAGCACAATGGGGCGCTGATCACGATTTCTGCAGGCCTTCGGGGGTGTTCAGGCTCCCAGGCCAGAAGGGGCCGCTGATCCGATGTCCCGTATTTCAGAAGCCAGAGAACTTCCTCACGAATTCCTAGAGCAGAGCTTTTAGAAACAGCCAGCCTTGATTTAAAAATGGGGACTCTACCACAGCCCTTGGTAAATTGCTCCGGTAGCTTCTACCCCCACTAAGAATAAGGCGGGGGTGGGTTGGGGGAAGTAGAGCCACGTGGATGGATGGGGGATGGACGGGCACCAACAGAACACGAATGGTGGCCAGAAGCCAAGAATGAGCCACGGCAGACAAGGCTGGGTCGTGCCCTTGTGCGTTTTCAGTCGCACAGTGGGGCGGCTGGCGCGCAGGTCACTGTTGGAAGCGTGCCCAAGTGGGGCACGGCTAGTTTGTTCCTTGAAACTGATAGGGAGCCGAGGGGCACGAGTACTTTCTGCAGCGCTCAGGCTGCCCGTTTGGCAGCCCTGCTCTCCTGTGGCATGCGTGTGCGCCCAGGGAACACAGGCATGCAGTGACCAGTGGGCAATGGGAGTGCAGTGACCAGTGGGAGTCTCCATCGCTGGCAGCTCTTACGCCAGATTGCGTTCTGCTAAAAGCTCCGCTCTGGGAGATACCGCGGGGCCTGAGGCAGAGGCGGCCGGACTGGAGAATCCCCATGCTCCTTGGAATCGGAGGGGCTTGTTCCAAATGGTGCGGCGCGCTAGACTGTGCAGGCTCAGTGTCGGGCCAGGCCGCGTTTCTGGAGCAGGGCCGAGGAGCCTTTTTTGGGTCGGGGTCGCTGACCCACAGAAAAATCAGTCGGGGGCCACACAAGTGAAGCAAAACCCTCACTGTGGCCCCCAGCTGAGGAGACAGACCCTCCCCACGTTCCCCTCCCATACTAGAGCCGGGGGGCCCAGGCTAATAGATTGTGTGCTCCAGCTCCATGGGAAGACAGTATGGGGGGGACTGGAGGGCCAACACAGGCTCCCCAATGCTGGAGGGAGCCCTGAGCCTTGGGGGCCAGATCCAGGCAAGCTGCAGGCCTGAGACTCCCCACTCCTGAGCTGGAGCAGGGGTCGGCAACCTTTTCAAACCAAGGAGCCAAACTGTATCAAAATTCAGAACAAGTGGGCAACAGAGCTGAGTAAGAATGTCCGTTTGCACGACTGAAAATGCGCAAATTAATATTCTTGATGATTGACGTGGTGATTAATAGCACAGACGAAACCTTGTACTCAGAGTTTAACGGGACTCCTGCTGCTGCGTCGTCTTGCACGTTTCTTTGAAGTTTACATCATCACTGATCAAACCCTGGTGCATGCCGCATTCAGGCTGTCTTCTGTCAATCTTATGCTGGGGTTGGGGATGGGGGTGCTCAGGAGTTTGGGTTGGAGTGTGAGGGGCTCAGGGCAGTGGGATTGGGTGTACTAAGGACTCAGGACACGAGGTTGGAGGATGTGGGTGGTGCAGGAGTGTTACGCCAGGGAGCTGGGGATGTGGGGGTGCAGGAGTTTGGGGATGTGGTGGTATGAAGGGCTCAGGGCAGGGGGTTCAGGTGTATGATGGACTCAGAGTTGGAGTGTCTGGGGGTGGTGGTGTAGAAGTGTTCTGCTGTGGTGGCTAGACTAGGGGCTGGTCCCCAATTACGAGCTTGTTGGCCAGGCTCCTTTTTAAAATAAGAACAACCGTACTGGGTCAGCCCAAAGGTCCATCTAGCCCAGTAGCCTGTCTGCCGACAGTGGCCAGCACCAGGTGCCCCAGAGAGGGTGGACCGAAGGCAATGATCAAGCGATTTCTCTTGCCATCTCTCTCCAGCCTCTGACACAGAGGCCAGGGTCACCATTTTATCCCCTGGCTAATAGCCTTTTATGGACCTAACCTCCATGAAATTATCTAGCTTCTCTTTAAACTGTTATAGTCCTAGCCTTCACAGCCTCCTCTGGCAAGGAGTTCCACAGGTTGACTACACGCTGTGTGAAGAAGAACTTTCTTTTATTAGTTTTAAACCTGCTCCCCATTAATTTCATTTGGTGTCCTCTAGTTCTTCCATTATGGGAACTAATAAATAACTTTTCTTTATCTGCCTTCTCCACACCACTCATGATTTTATATACCTCTATCATATCCCCCCTCAGTCTCCTCTTTTCTAAACTGAAAAGTCCCAGTCGCTTTAACCTCTCCTCAAATGGGACCCGTTCCAAACCCCTAATCATTTTAGTTGCCCTTTTCTGAACCCTTTCCAAGGCCAAAATATCTTTTTTGAGGTGAGGAGACTACATCTGTACACAGTATTCAAGATGTGGGTGTACCATAGTTCTATACAGGGGCAGTAAGATATTCTGTGTCTTATTTTCTATCCCTTTCTTAATAATTCCTAGCATCCTATTTGCCTTTTTGACCACTGCTACACACTGGCTGAAAGTTTTCAGAAAACTAACCACGATAACTTGAAGATCTCTTTCCTGATTTGTCATAGCCAAATTAGCCCCCATCATACTGTACCTATAGTTGGGGTTATTTTTCCCGATGTGCATTACTTTACACTTATCCACATTAAATTTCATTTGCCATTTTGTTGCCCAATCACTCAGTTTGGTGAGATCTTCTTGGAGCATTTATGAATAAGTTGAACAGGATTGGTCCTAGGACTGACCCTTGGGGGACACCACTAGTTACCCCTCTCCGTTCTGAAAATTTACCATTTATTCCTACCCTTTGTTTCCTGTCTTTTAACCAGTTCTCAATCCAAGAAAGGACCTTCCCTCTTATCCCATGGCCATGTAATTTACACAAGAGCCTTTGGTGAGGGACCTTGTCAAAGGCTTTCTGAAAATCTAAGTATACTATATCTACTGGATCCCCCTT